AACTGTGGCGTCATTGGAAGTAGTTTCTTGACTGTACCACTTCAGATCTAGAAATTAAAGTGAGGATTTAAGTTTGTAAATACCTCTGCTAGGTAATGCATCTTTTAAAATTTAAGAACTTTTTTTTTTTTTTTTTGAGACAGATCCTCTTCCAGTCACCCTAGGTAGAGTGCTAAGGAATTGTAACTCACAGTAACCTCAAACTCTTGGGCTCAAGAGATACTCTTGCCTCAGCCTCTTGAGTAGCTGGGACTACAGGTGCCCACCACAATGGTATTTTCTCTTTTGTTTTCTTTTTATTTTTGCTATTTTTAGTAAAGATGGGGTCTCGCTCTTGCTCAGGCTGGTCTTGAACTCCTGAGCTTAGGTAGTCCACCTGCCTTGGCCTCCCAGAGTGCTGGAACTACAGGCCTGAGTTAACACGCCTGTCTAAGAACTAGGTTTTTTGCCTGATTTATAGCTTCCTTCTGACGTGTTTTAAATAATGCTACAAAATAACACTTAAAGCTCCTCCCTTATTATCATTTATGAAATACTTGTAATTGAAAAGATATAAGACCTGTATTCCCTGTGAGACCTGCAAGTCGTCAACAGACTTTTTTGACATTGTAAATGTAATGATTGAGGGTTTTTTTTTTTTCTTTCAGTAGACTTTAAAATGATGGATTATTTATGTATACCTTGCCTGGTAAACAAGATTATGACAGTTTGTGTGTAGCACTCTATTTAAAATATTTGTGGTGGTTTGCGATTATCAAAATAAGATCATTTCAATTGGGAGAAAACAGACAGCTTCTATTTACTAGTGTTTGTGGCAGGGTGTAAAATTACCTGATACCAAGAACCTGTTGGGTTGATGAATTTAACTACTAATTTCTTTTCTTTTTTTTTGAGACAGAGTCTCACTATGTCACCCTCGTTAGAGTGCTATAGCATCACAGCTCACAGCAACCCCAACTCTCAGGCTTAAGCCATTCTTTTTTTTTTTGAGACAGGAGCCTCAAGCTGTCCCCCTGGGTAGAGTACCGTGGCATCTCAGCTCACAACAGCCTCCAACTCCTGGGCTCAAGCGAGTCTCCTCCCTCCGCCTCCCAAGTAGCTGGGACCACAGGCGCCCGCCACAACGCTCGGCTATTTTTTTTTGGTTGCAGCCGTCATTGTTGTTTGGCAGGCCCAGGCTGGGGATTCGAACCCGCCACCTTAGGTGTATGTGGCTGGCGCCTTAGCCCCTTGAGCCACAGGCGCTGAGCCGCTTAAGCCATTCTTAAGCCATTCTTGCCTCAGCCTCCCAACTAGCTGGGACTGTAGGCACCCACCACAACACCCAGCTATTTTTTGGTTGTACTTGTCTTTGTTGTTTGGCAGGCCTGGGCTGAGTTCAAACCTACCAGCTCTGGTGTATGTGGCTGGTGCCTGTGGCTCAAAAGGCTAAGGCACCAGCCACATACACCTGAGTTGGCAGGTTCGAATCCAGCCCGGGCCCGCCAAACAGCAATGACAAGGCTGCAACCAAAAAATAGCTGGGCATTGTGGCAGGCGCCTGTAGTCCCAGCTACTTGGGAGGTGGAGGCAGGAGACTCGCTTGAGCCCAGGAGTTGGAGGTTGCTGTGAGCTGTGATGCCACAGCACTCTACCCAGGGGAACAGCTTGAGGCTCTGTCTCAAAAAAAAAAAAAAAAGACCTGATCTTGCATTTTTCTGTGGCCCTGCCCAGTAAGAATTTTTCTTTATAGACAAGAGGGATACTGGAATAATTGCTATATGCTTAAGTTAATCTTTAATAATTTAAAACTCTGGCTTGAGCATTTCTATAGTGTAAATTGTCTGTCTCTTGAGTGACTAATTTCTATAGTAAAGTAAAACTATATTCAAAACAATCCTGGGCTCAGTGCCTATTGCACAGTGGTTACAGCACCAGCCACATACACCAAGGGTGGCAGGTTCGAACCTGGCCCAGGCCAGCTAAACAACTGCAACAACAACAAAAAAACTAGCTGAGCATTGTGACCGGCACCTGTAGTCCCAGCTACTTCAGAGGCTGAGACTTAAGGCCAAGAATTTGAGGTTACTGTGAGCTGTGATGCCACGGTATTATACCCAGGTATAATAGGGAAACTCTGTTTCAAAAAAAAAAAAAACCTTGAAGACCAGGCACAGTGGTCACGCCTGTAATCCCAGCACTTTGGGAGACCGAGATGGGCAGATTGCCTGAGCTCACAGGTTTGAGAGCAGCCTGAGCAAGACCAAGACCCTGTCTCTAAAAATAGCTGGGCATTGGGGTGGGCACCTATAGTCCCAGCTACTCGTGAGGCTGAGTCCAGAGAATCACTTGACCCCAGGAATTTGAGATTGCTGTGAGCTATGACACTACAGCACTCTACCAAGAGCAATATAGTGAGACTCAGTCTCAAAAAAACCCACAATTGTGTATGTGTGTATTAAAATAATTCATTTGATTGACCATTGTCTATAGAAAACTGGGGCCAAGGTGCGAGGTGAAGGAACCATGCCTGAGATGGAGAAATTTTTGTTTTGGTCCTGAGCTAGCAGGGTAATTATCTGTTTTGTTGTTTTTGACTTGCTCCAAACTTTGAAAGTAAATCCCTGGTTGAGCTCTTGTCAGGTTTAGTGAGGATGTGTTTTTCTCTGTTAATTTCTCATAAATGATGAACAGTCTATTCTTAATTTTGGAGAAAGAATATATAAAGTATTAGACTCTCAGTAGACTGTAGAAATTATGTTTCTTATGCTGGGTGATTGAGTAGTAACTGTCTCAATGTCAGTATGAATTTGTCTCATCTTGTCTAAAACATAATTAAGTTCAGGTTCAGACAGGTCTTAGAGTCCCCTGCATTTCTGAAGAGCAGGTTCTTTTACACACACACACATCCTTTGTTTTTGGTCCTTTTCTTTTTTCTAGGCTTGTTTTCTAGCTTTTTTTTTTTTTTTTGAGAAAGAGCCTCAAGCTGTCGCTCTGAGTAGAGTGCTCTGATATCACAGCTCACAGCAACCTTCAACTCCTGGGCTCAAGCAATTCTCCTGCCTCAGCCTCCCAAGTAGCTGGGACTACAGGCACCCGCCACAACGCCCAGCAATTTTTTATTGGCAGCCATCATTGTTGTTTGGCGGGCCCGGGCTGGGGATTCCAACCCGCCACCTTAGGTGTATGTGGCTGGCGCCTTAGCTGCTTGAGCCACAGGCACCGAGCTGATTTTCTAGCATTTTTTTAAGTTCTTGTTTTTATTAGTTAATTTTTGGTATAAAGAGAAAATATAGATTATTTTTTAGAAATATTTCTGATATTTCTTTGTTTTCTAACATAGACTAAACTGGCTCTACTGGCTATTGTGTTGTGTATGTACATGGCTGGGGCTGCTGGTTAGCTCTTGGAAGGCCTCATTGCCCACTTACTCTGTCAGCCTTGCCAGGGAGAACTGGAATTATCAGTAGCACAGTTACCAGGTTCCTTTTTGCAGGAAAAAATCTTCAAACCTGACAAGGTATTTTTTCTGAGTCATTTTGCCTGACTATACTCACTTGCTTATTTTGCCTCTGACTTTAGAATTGTCTTAAGTTCTTAAGGTTTGTTTTTGTTTTTATTTTTGAGACAGAGTTTTACGCTGTTGCCCTGGGTAGAATGCTGTGGCGTCATAGCTCACAGCAACCTCCAACTCTTGGGCTCCAGTGATCCTCTTGCCTCAGTTTTTCCATTTTTAGTAGAGACGGGGTCTTGCTTTTACTCAGGCTTGTCTCGAACTCGTGAGCTCAAGCAGTTCACCCACCTCAGCCTCCCAGAGTGCTAGGATTACAGGGGTTTGAGCCACTGTGTCCAGCCAGTTTTTAAGGTTTTGATATGTTTTGTCAGCAAGGATAAATCTGTCTCTTAAATAGTGTCTGTAATATATATGGTCTTAGCCAAGACTCATTTTTTAAAAAAATAACTATTTAGAAAGTTTTGGGGAAGAAACAAGTTTTTCCTTTAAAGGAATACATTTTAAATATAGTGGTATCATTTGGTTTTTAAAATGGAACTTGAGTCCCTCTAGTGGGTAAGACATAATTCACCTTCCAAGCTTGAGATAGAAAGGAAGATAGAAGTCTTGATTTTCATGGGAACAGCTTACAAATGTATTTATCTTGTAGGTACTGGTACCCCTCACTAGCTGCCTGGCAATGCTCAGGTAGCCACTGGCTTTGTTCTAACATCAGCCAAGCTTCAGCAGTCCTCTTCCTCTGCTCGCGTCGTCTTAGTGGCTCTGGTCATTTCTTGCATGTTATCTCACAAGATGTAGTTCATCAATGGCTTTATTTCAAGCCTCAGCGAGTATACATTGAAAGTGAAAGTTGGGGCCAGGCATGGTGGCTCATGCCTGTAATCCTAGCACTCTGGGAGGCCATGGCGGGTGGATCTTGAACTTAGGAGTTCAAGACCAGTCTGAGCCCATCTCTACTAAAAATAGAAAAAAAACAAGCAGAGTGTTGTTGCAGGCAACTAACTGTAGTCTCAGCTACTCAGGAGGCTGAGGCAGGAAAATTGCTTGAACCCAGGAGTTTGAGGTTGCTATAAGCTTTGACACCATGGCATTCTACCCAGGGTGACAGAATGAGACTCTGCCTAAAAAAAAAAAAAGTTGGCAACTGGAGAAGTTATATACTGATAGCCAAAAGAGCAGCAGCATGATAAGTTTGGGAAAAAACTTGGGTTTGGTGTTCAAATCCTAATTTCAGTTACTAGCTGTGTGACTTTGAGCATAATTACATAGCCAGCCTTCCTGTATTTCTCTTTTGTAAAGTAGGGAAATGATAAAACTATCTTGCAGAGTAGTATTAAGTATGGGAAATAACACACACAAAGGCCTTTGCTGGTTTTTTTTTTTTTTTTAATTCTATGATTGGTAGCAGAAGTTATGGAAATTTCTCCAGCTGAGTCTATTAGTGATGCATGGTATTTAATTATCTGGATAACTTTCTTCTCTTCTCGGTGTCTTCTTTTTCTTTCAGTCACCACCAAGTAAGCGAAGAAAATTAGAGAAGCCAAGGAAACCCATTACATTTGTCGTGTTGGCATCTGTGATGAAAGAATTATCCCTCAAAGCTTCATCTTTGGGTTCTGAAACAGTAGAAGGCATTGTAGTCGTCACAACATGGATCGAAAAAATTCTCACCGATCTGAAGGTATCTGATAATCATATTGAAGTACTCATAATAATCTTTCTTTTTTCTTCTATTTATTTTTTATTTCGTTAGTTAAGGTTTTTTGTTTTGTTTTATTTTGTTTTCGAGACAGAGTGTCACTATGTCACCCTTGGTAGAGTGCCGTGGCATCAACCTCATAGCAACCTCAAACTCTTGGGTTTAAGCAATCTGTTGTCTCAGTCTCCCAGCTAGGACTACAGGCACCCACCACAAAGCCCAGCTATTTTGTTTTTTGTAGTTGTCATTGTTGTTCAGCTGGCCCGGGCTGGGTACAAACCCTTCAGCCTCTGTGCATGTGGCTGGTGCCATAACCACTGAGCTATGGATGCCAAGCCTATTTTTTATTTATATATTTTATTTTACTTATTTATTTATTTTTTGATATAGGGTCTCTCTCATCCTGGGTAGAGTGCCGTGTCATCATACCTCACAGCAACCTCAAACTCTTGGGCTTAAGTGATCATCTTGCCTCGGCCTCCCATGTAGCTGAGTCTACAGGCTGCCACAATGCCCAGCTAGTTTTTCTATATATATTTTTTTAGTAGAGATGAAGTCTTGCTCTTGCTTAGGCTGATCTCAAACTCCTGACCTCGGCTCGGCGCCTGTGGCTCAAGCAGCTAAGGCACCAGCCATATACACCCAAGGTGGCGGGTTCGAATCCAGCCCGGGCCCACCAAACAACAATAATGGCTGCAACCAAGAAATAGCCGGGGCATTGTGGCAGGTGCCTGTAGTCCCAGCTACTTGGGAGGCTGAGACAGGAGACTCGCTTGAGCCCAGGAATTGGGAGGTTGCTGTGAGCAGTGAAGCCATAGCACTCTACCCAGGGACAGCTTGAGGCTCTGTCTCAAAAACAAAAAAAAACTCCTGACCTCAAGTAATCTACCCACTTCGGCCTCCCAGAGTGCTGGGCTTACAGGTGTGAGCTACCACACCCAGCATTCTTTCTTTTTTCTTTTCTTTCCTTTTTTTTTTTTTTTTTTTTGAGACAGAGTCTCAAGCTGTCGCCATGGGTAGATTGCTGTGATCACAGCTCACAGCAACCTCAAACTCTTGGACTTCAGTGATTCTCTTGCCTCAGGCTCCCAAGTAGCTGAGACTATAGGCGCCCGCCACAATGCCCAGCTATTTTTTGGTTGTGTTGTTTAGTAGGCCTAGGCTAGATTCAAACTCGCCAGCTCTGGTGCATGTGGCTGGCGCCCTAGCCCCTTGAGCTACAGGTGCTGAGCCATTCTTTCTTCTTTTTAAAGGAAGTTTGAAGAGCAGGGGAAAGTGGTTTCCTATAAAATTCTGTTTTTCTCCAAATAGGTCCAGCATAAACGAGTTCCCTGTGGAAAAGAGGAACTTAGCCTTTTCCTAACAGCCATAGAAAACTCTTGGATTCATTTAAGGAGAAAGAGAAGAGAGCGAGTGAGACAATTGAGAGAAGTTCCTAGAGCTCCTGAGGATGTCATCCAAGCCTTGGAAGAGAAAAAGTCCACCCCTAAAGAGTCTGGCAATAGCCAAGAATTAGTCAAGGATTCCCAGGAAAGCATCCTGTGTGGGCCTGCACCTGGGGAAGGCGAGCCTGCCACTGTTGAGGGCCATTGCCCACATCAGGAGTCGTTCTGCCAGGAGGAAAACGCAGAACCCATGGAGGATGAAAGGAGTGAGGAAAAGGGAGGGATGGAGGTTTTGGAAGGTTGTAAAGGCTCTAGCAATGGAGCCCAGGACCAAGAGGTTTCTGAGCAGTTCAGCAACTCAGCAGCTGAAAGAGGAAAAGATCTCCAAGGAGTGGCTGGACAGTACCTGTTTAAGTGTTTGATAAATGTTAAGAAGGAGGTGGATGATACCTTAGTTGAAATGCATTGGGTGGAGGGCCAGAACAGGGATTTGATGAACCAGCTTTGCACCTACATACGTAACCAAATTTTTAGACTTGTGGCTAGTTAATGCCGACTCCTGGCACAGCTGAACAGTGTCTATAAAGCAACTTCCTTTGGAGTGTCCTCTAGGGTGGCAAGAGGAATTCTATCACTGGCCCATTAGAAACATTATGTGGTGTTAAAAAAAAAAAA